GGGGCAGGGGGGGGGGGGGGGGGAGGAGTGGCTTTGTGTGTCACAAAGCGAGTAGCGAGGGAGAATTCAAGGAGTCCGAGGACTGGTCGCTGCTGCTGTTCCGCTGGTGTGAGGCTCCGCAGGTAGATCCCTCTGGGTAGGTGAACACAAACGAAGATGTATATGAAGGGTTAACCGGGTACGGGTCTGTCAGCGGCTCACCGTGTGTAAAGTAAGAACTAGAAAACGCTACCTCCGCGGGGCCCGGCGGTGGCACGCCGAGGCTTTGCTGGTAGTGGAGGGGCACCGATGGGTAGGCAGCTGGCCCGAACGGGTCCTCCTTGGCAGGCACCCCCAAGGAGCTCACCTCAGCCGACGGGCCGGGCTGGCTGCCCAACTCGGGCATGTCCTCGTAAGGGATTTTGCAGCTGGGCTTGTGAGCCACCAGGACGAATTCCAGGCGGTCTTTCTCCTTTTGCAGCTCCGCGATCTCCGACTCCAGCCCTGCCTTCTCTTCCTCCAGCTGATCCGTCTCCTGGAGGGGAGGGAAGCTGGGGTCAGCCTAGGGCCCTCCTGCACCATGCACACCCCTTTCCTCCTGGGGTCAGTGCCTCTGCCCTCCCCCCCCATACTCTCCAGAGAAACCCTTCTTGCTGCTGCACACAGCGAATTCCAGTCTCCTCGCCCCTCCTCTCCAACCTTGCTCCCCTCCTTGGGGTCAGCTGGGCAGGGGCAGGATCATTCTGCTCTTTAGAGCATGGAGGTGGCAGGCCTAGACCAGTGTTTCTTAAACTTTTTAAGACAGAGGAATCTTTTTGTTGAGCCCCCCTGCCCTCAAAAAAAGGTCCGGGGCAGAAAGGGTCAGGGAAAGTTACTGAGCAAAAAAAAAAAAAGTTGCCTGCCTCTTTAAGGGCGGCCATTTTTAACTCTGCTCTCTGCGGCACACCGGTGTGCCACGGAACAATTTAGGGAACACTGGCCTAGACTGTGCTCTGCTCTCATCCGACTATGTCCCCACACCGCAAACCACCAGCCCTGACCGCCACGCCCCCGGCCACGGCACCGGCCACAAAGGGAGCTGGAGACACCCACCTCCCGCCAAGGCGCCACGCTCGCACTCAGACGGCTGTGGCATCGGCCCAGGGAGCCGCCACTGGGCAGCTGTGCTGCCAGCAGGAGCGGGATCCCCCTGCCGGGCGTGCGGGAAGGGGCCACGTGAGAACACTCACCGCCTGCAGCCTGTCCGTCAGCTCCCGGCGCCGGTTCCGGCACTTGGCTGCTGCCAGCTTGTTCCTCTCCCGGCGGACGCGTCGCTTCTCCTCCTCCTCTGGCGTCAGCTGCAAGAGGCACGGGGGCCGCCAGCCACAGGCTCCCCATGCGACCCAGCCCCACCCCTCCCAGATGGGGGCTTCCCCCAGTCCCATGCCTTGTGGGAGGGGGGGAGCTCTGCCTCCCCACCAACG